AAATGAAAATTTGAAAGAAATTGAAGGGGTACCCCTTGGAAAAATCTCGGAAAAATCGAAAATTTTTTTTTTGTCAAAATATCGAAAAATATCGAAATATTTGTTTCTAAAAAGCGTCAAAAATTTCAAACTTTTTAGGCTTGTATTTCCTCAAGTCAGTTGTTTCGTCCAAATTCGCGCATGCACACCAAATACAGAAAGTTTTCTTTGGCTTATTGCTGATTGCCGTAAGAGTACATGCAAATTTTAAGTCGCTATAATTTATCATAAAACACATGAATTGATTTAAAATTTTACAGGTAGCTTTTTGATAGTAATAGGAATCTATAATAACAAATTCAACAAGCTAGCATTGTTTAAGTGTATAGCCTATACATCCTTAAATCAGTCGTTCGAACACATTGAAAACGGAAAGTATACGAGCACGGTAGACGGACAAAGAAAGATTTGAATATTTGTCAGTGTGTTTTCAATTCTGATTGCCATTGCAACGTCAACTTTATCGGGCTGTCACCCGCATATAATTTCGCGAACAGGCGTCACTTTTTTCCAGCGTTATCTCTCGCGCAAACACGGCAACTCGAACGAAAAGAATAAAAAAAAAGTGCGTTGTACGACGAAACATCTCAATTCAAGTTCAAGAATGAATAAGTTTAATTTAGGAGTATCGCGTTATATTTCCATGCGTCGCTTTCCCTCGGGACGAAATGCAGATTGTTTCGTCATAAATAGTTGAAAGAACGTTCGCAGGACATTACACGCGTACCACTTCCGCTCCAGTCCCTCTGATATGCAAAGTGGATCTCTTTCGAGACACGATAGAACGGATAAAGCGTTTCCGTGATCGGAATATGACTGATTCTGTGTCATCATTTTTCTTTCCCCTCTGCACCTATCGTAGTTTCTTAACGACCGTTTCGAAAGAGAACGTGGAATGCGATTTGATTGAGGCGTCGCATTTAATCCCGTTTCAGACATTCAAACTCGGTTCGATCTGTTCTTGAGTTCTGCCCTGTGACACACTCTGCCACTGTTAATATCGACTGTACGCTGACAATGACGCACAGTGCTTTTGATTGATTATCCTTTGATTGATTAATACCGTCGGCGACGAAATTACGCTTCGAACCGCGCGTTACACGTGTCGCCATGTTTAATTTGCGTAAAAATCATCTCTAAGATGATGCTCGGAGACAACAATCTTTCATTAGTTATAAAGGGCCCTCAAGTAGTTAGTAGATCGAAAGCCGAGCGGACAATTACGATAATGGTATTTTTCCTCGTCCTAACCGGTGACATAAACGAACCCTTGCGATAACAAGGCGTCATCCTCGCCATTTATACCGAGACCCATTACTCTCCAATGATACAGTGAGAACCAAAAGTGGATATGATCTTATTGTTAGAAAGTTCATCAGATGATTAAACAGAAACACTCTACTTTTAAATTATTAAACATTTCTCTGTGATAATAATTTCTACGTGAGACGCAATGATGGTATTTGTACAAAAAACAGGGACGAAATTCATGACAAGATTGAACAGAATAGTTTAACCCTTTGCACTCCGAATTTTATTTCAATTTCGTTACCAGCAGCTCCCAACGCTTTTAAGTTTACTTTAACTAATAAATAAGACAATTTAAATAAATAAAGGGAGAAACAAATTCATTTGAATACCAGTTTTATTCACGCTATTGTTGTATTTTGTAATTAGTCAAGTGTATGATATTTCTTAAAACAATTTCCAGGATGCAATCCTGGTTTTCTTTCGCACGTTTCGTCTATTGATTTGGACATGAAAGAATGTCGAGTCACACTCGACATACAAGTGCAAAGAGTTAATTATTTTTCTATTCATTTGAAGTTTCAAATTATGGGGAACTAGAGTAACTTCTGCATGAGATATAAGAAGCACTTAATAAAAAATCGGAATGCAAACAAGCAACGTTGAGATAAGTCGTGGGTCGATCGTGACGTTGGACGAAAATTAATTTCTTCTCGATAGAATCTTAACGACGGCCGGACCCCAACGGTACGCAACCTTTTATCAACGTTTTACAATCGTGTCCGCCGTGTGTTTGTTCGGAATTTTGAAAACAGAGGAGGGAAGAGAGGCTGTTTGCACGATTTATCGACATTCTTCTCGGTTCCTCGGACTCAATTTCATCTTTCCTTTTTATCACAGTAGTTTTATTCTGTTGTCTCGGCTGTCGTGTTTCGTTCGATTGAAGAGCGTCTCGCGAGCTCCAGGCTGGTTTTTGAATGTAAATGGCCGGGGCAAGTGGAGAGGATGAACCTCGCGGAGGCGATAGAGATCTCTGGATCTGGAAAAAGGCTATGCCAGGCATGGATGAAATTGCCTCTCGGCGTCATGTCGCGCGAAAACATCCGGGAAACTCTCCTCGCTTCGAGAAGCGATGATCGTTCGCGGGTTCATACACAGATCACTCGATTTCAACTTTTCCTCAGAACCTTAGCAAAACGGCTAGTCTCTCATTTACAACTCGGTATATATTTTGTTCTCTGGAATGTGTCAGTCAAATGTAGATCAAATTATTGTACACTTAACCCTTTGCACTCCGAATTTTATTTCAATTTCGTTACCAGCAGCTCCCAACGCTTTTAAGTTTACTTTAACTAATAAATAAGACAATTTAAATAAATAAAGGGAGAAACAAATTCATTTGAATACCAGTTTTATTCACGCTATTGTTGTATTTTGTAATTAGTCAAGTGTATGATATTTCTTAAAACAATTTCCAGGATGCAATCCTGGTTTTCTTTCGCACGTTTCGTCTATTGATTTGGACATGAAAGAATGTCGAGTCACACTCGACATACAAGTGCAAAGAGTTAATTATTTTTCTATTCATTTGAAGTTTCAAATTATGGGGAACTAGAGTAACTTCTGCATGAGATATAAGAAGCACTTAATAAAAAATCGGAATGCAAACAAGCAACGTTGAGATAAGTCGTGGGTCGATCGTGACGTTGGACGAAAATTAATTTCTTCTCGATAGAATCTTAACGACGGCCGGACCCCAACGGTACGCAACCTTTTATCAACGTTTTACAATCGTGTCCGCCGTGTGTTTGTTCGGAATTTTGAAAACAGAGGAGGGAAGAGAGGCTGTTTGCACGATTTATCGAGCGATCAACGCTGCTCCGAGGAGTTTTTCCCGTTATCGGTACTCGGATCCGCATAAAAGATCGTTCTTGAACTGGCCTCGATAATAGCAGCAAATATTTAAGTTTCCTAGAATTCCTTGCTACGACTAGCTTAATAACTGCTCTGTACACTCACCTAACGACCCGGGAACTAATCAAAGGTTGCAATAATAATCGTTATAATTGGCTGTCGACTTCACTGAAACTATTTAAAAATATCTAAAGATTTTCGAGTAAATGGTCACATTAACTCGTTAATATTTTCCACTACATTTTCCTTATCAATTGAATTCCCACTCGGTATTGCGAATCGATGAAATAATTGGAAGCGTGACGCATGCCAGCAAAAATCGTCCAAGCGACTAACGAGGCTTCACCTCACGTGTGCAGTGCAACGTGTCAACGATTTAACGTAAGTGTAAAAAGTACGTTACGGTTCTAATAGCAGGTGTCAATTTTGTCGAAATGATTTTGACTGGCTAAACTGTACAAACAAATCGACGTTCACGGTCAATGATGCACGTTGCGCCTCGTGCGCTTGCAATGTCATCAACGTTTGAAAGTTCTTTAAATAAATTATGAATAAAACAGTCTATCTGATAGGCAATAGTAATTCTAATTATTGGTTTATCAGACTTTGCACATCATTTTCAAGAATAATGACAATTCTGTTTGAAACTACTTGTTAGTAGCACTTTTAAACACGTCATGGCTACGAGCGAGTATGTAAAACCTAATGATAAAGAAACGGTGAATTCGATTTCCTTTCGCGAGTTTTTATCACAATAGGGAGGAACTTTGCACGACGCTGACGCAGACAGATTGCTCGAACCTGACGACAACCAAGCTCGAGCGACAATTTATAGATTGATTCAGGTGTATCGCTTCACCTTGGCGCATTATTCCAAATCGTGTCCCTCTCTTGTTTCCTAATCGAATTTGCAACCGGCTTACTCACATATCCTTTGATCCACGATTCACTGTTGACCAACTGACTGGAAAAGGCAAGAATAATAAATTGAAAGGAGACTCTTACAATGCAACTGCAGTTATTGCAGTTACATTTTGTATTCGACCTTCCTGTTATTATCTTACACGATTGCATTGAATTATATCAATGATGATTATATATTTTATTTCGTTTGTTTAATTGGGACAGATTCTTGAAAAAGAACGAAAAATTTTGTGTTTCAGGCGAGAAACCGCACAAATGCGTGGTATGCGGCAAAGCATTTTCTCAGAGCAGCAACCTGATCACGCACATGCGTAAGCACACCGGGTACAAGCCGTTCCAGTGCGGGCTGTGCGACAAGGCATTCCAGAGGAAGGTCGACCTGCGGCGACACCGCGAGGGCCAGCATCCGACCGCCCCCGCGCTCGACTACCGCTCGCTTCAGCTACCCTCGCAGAATTCGAACGCCAGCCACTCGCCGCCAGCTCCTGTCTCCTACCACATGATCCCCGTACCCGGTAACAGTTGAGACTTTTTTACAAATTCTTCTTTCAACCGTCCTTTTCGCGTGCCTCTGATTTATCAAAAATCGTTTGTCGAGCATAAACAATTATGAACAACCGCGGGAAATGATCGAGAATCTATGCGAATTCATAGAACCAGTTAAACGTATGTCCTAAATTCGTTCGTTATTTTTCTATATATTTTGCAAACGAGATCGATTAAGATTCTAAAAAAGAAGAAAAGAAATTCTAAAAAGAAAGGAACGAAGATACGGTTCTTATCTTGGAAAAATCTCGAGCGCGTGTCGAAAGTGTTAGGTTCGGTGGATGCACCTGTTCCCAGGACTAATAACAGGTACTTAGCTTGCATACATACCTCCAGAATGTTCAACAATGTTCAAATGCCTGAAGGGTTTGCACATTTAGGTAGGGAACTTTCGGTGCCGTCCGTTACACTGGTTTACAAAGGTCCTTTATCTTCTGTCACGTGAAAGTTCAACGACACGTGATTTCAGTTCTGTGGTATAGTCAGAATTCCGTCCAATTACGTCGTTCACGAGAACGTGCTGCTTGATGATACAATCCAAATTGCAGGAATGATTAATTATTAAGTAGAAAAGTGAATCGTGTGAGAGAAACTTGATTGAAAATTCCTCTTGACCAGTGCTATTTACTGTACATACATATATTATAAAAGTATTCATCTACAGATATATTACACATATGCATTAACGTGTGTACACGTACGTACTTGAATTAATATTATAATAGTACAATTCTTATTAGTTAGCCGAATCGCAAAAACAAATGAAAAAATCGTTTATTTTGTATAGGATGTAAGGTTTCTAAAACGACGATCGAAGTTTATGTTAAAGGAGAATGAGAAACGTTATATTATATGTATACGTCCCCCGTCGCATTCCATACGCGTGCGTGTGCACGTGTGTCCATATGTCGCGTGTATAAATCCATATTTTACATTATTATATGCGAGCCAGTGTTACCAGTTGCACGTGCAGGGTTTTCGAATAGATGTACCTACGTCTACTTACGTTTCTAAGAAGTTTTATCATTTGCTTCAACGGCAATGGAGAATTAAACGTAAGAGGACAGTGTTAGCACATTGCGTACCGCTCACGAGTTTTCTCATTTTTCTCGCGCTATCTATTATTAAATGTCCTCTCTCAAAAAAAGAAAGGAAATTTAACGATAATTTATCAGATATTCCTAGTAAGATCGAAAATGCGGATGACTGTTTTGACGATTCCGAAGACGAATCTGCTGATTCTACTGATAGTGAAATTATTAGACCTGTGAGGAAGTGTAGCGGTGCTTTTAAGTGATTCCGACACTGATTCCATTGGTCAACAGATCCTTTGATAAGTACTCCTATATTTCCACAGACCTGTAGTTATGATGATTTAAATAACGTGCATTTTGCTCAAAACGTATGGTCTTTCGCATATGTCTTAGAAATTTCTATGCGGTACGCAATGTGTTAAGAGAAAGAGAGAATATGTGTGTGTGTTCATTCTTTAAGAGAAGATATAGTGAAATTCCGGAAAATAATGCAAGAGGAGCGTATGATCTATATTAAGTAAAAGGTAGGTCGTTAAAATTCGTTTTGTACGATACGAAACCTGTGTTTAATAATTAATTTTATATTTTTATCGATAACTTTCGAGAGAGTTAAAAATTTAATGCAGTGCATTTGAGGAAGAAAGAAGAAGAGTTGAACGGAGCATAGAATAATCGTGCCGCGATAATCATCAGTCATATATAGAAGAATTAGGAACACATGTTGGATTGTAAATAATTTTATGTTCTCGTCGAATTGGTAGACAAATTCCATTTGAAATTCGGCGTCTGGCAAAAAATCATAGCGGCTAGAGGACCAAAGATAGTATAAGTCGGACCTGGTCGAGCGGTCATTATTCGGGCGGTGAAAGGAGGATCGAGGATAAAATAAATTTTTGCACGCCCGAGAATTCACCGAAGACCTCTGGTCCCGTTTACGTAGACGCATACGTGTTGTATCATATCTACCATTAGGATTAGCTTATTCCTTTGATTAAGACCGAGCCAGCAACTGAAACGTCCTTTCATATAATTAAGCCACGTGAATCACGTTTCAACGTTGAGTCGAATAATTAAATCTTCGAACTATCAAGACTCGGAAACATTGTTTTACATCAAAATTTTATTGAGGACTTGTGGAGCAGCAATCTCTGAGGGTGGAGATAAGGCCGATGCATCAATAAATAGATTTAAATAAGTAATCGTGTAAGAGTGTGTGCGAGCGACGACGTGTGGATCGATTGAGTGCTATAACAGAGTAAGTTGTGTTAATCGGTAAAACCAAATAATATGTTCACAATTGGTATAAAGATGGCATTGAATAAATTGTTTTTCTTATAAGCTACACTTACTTCCCATTTCCTAATAAAAAAAGTCCATGAATCACTTAAAATTAACAATAATAACGATCAGTTATATCTATCGTTATCCTGATTGTACTATCATCTTCTTCCTTTTAAATTCTTACTAGATCAAGCAGTTCAACACTAATGTAATTTGAACAGTGAGGAGACCGAAATAGGTAAGTGGATATCTCTATTAAAAAAATTAATTAACACTCTTAAGTACAACTTTTGATTGTATTGCAAGATAAAATATGACTAAGTACGCGTATATGATAGCTAGATTAGTAACGAACAGCGCTTCACCTTGACGGTAATAATTGCGAGTAACACTTCGCTGTGATCATTAATAATTTCTTGTGTCGTTCTCGCCGCTGCCGCGATGGTCACGTGAACCGAATAATCGCCTAACTACGAGCGTAATATAGTGTAGGTTTCATGGCGTTTTGCTTATCTTCGGCGCTTAGCGTTGGCTCGCGACGAGACACGCTGCCTCCGCTATGCAAATAACCACTCGGTAAACAATAGCGTTTTTGCGGAATAACTAGCGTCACGCCATCCACGGTACGCTTCGATGTCTCCGCGACTGCGGCCTTAATATTTCAATTTTTATTCTACAAATTAATCGGACTGGCTCTTGAAAGATTCGATTGAAACGTTTCGGAGCGCTTTTCAATTGAAACGTATCGGCTCCACCTTAGCCTCCGAGCGAAGCAGGTGAGCAAAGGGATCGACGGTGCCTAATAGATTATCGGCGATTATCCTTAACCTTAGGGATCGAACGCCTCCTTCGGGATAGAGCGATCAAATCGATAGATCGCTCGAGATATCGTCTCCTTCCTTTATCTCAGCCGACGCTGGTTCATTACTCCCAAAATGTTAAAAAGTGAAATCCTTGGATTCCATGCAAATTTCAATTCGCTCAGGTGTGAACATCCTCTGCTCCTACAGATTGCTTCCGTTGCAATAAACCCGGCATTGAATATTCATTTACGATTTACGATTCGGCAAATGAATATTCAACGCGCAACGGGGAAGCTTTAGAAAGAATCGCGAGATAAATTATCTATTTTATTATCAAAGGAAGGCATTGTCTCGCTTGATAAAATTGTCCGAGAAAGTTTTTACTTGTAATAACCGCCCGATTAGGAAGTGCATTGAAAATTAGTGCGAGAAATCGGTGAGGCTGTACCGGGGAAGAACGGCCGGCTGCGAGTTTCTGGAAGCAATTTTTGCATCGATAACGAACGTTTCTATACGGGCCGATGCCGCTCTGGTTTCCACGTCTCTGACTTTATTGCCTGTAATTACAGATGCGGCAAATGTTTTAAGTGGCAAATCCTCGTTGCAACAGAATCATTTGGAAACGCGCTTTTCCCTCTCGCGTCGTTACTAGCCACCGATCATCGTTCTTCGTTCCACTCGCTGTCTCTGCACGGTCTGATCCGTGGGACCGTCGCACTGCTGCCAGTAGAAAAGAATGATTAAACAACAGTGAAACCCCTTCGACGTTTGAATGTTTAATTCGTAGATTCAAAGGATAAGTGTCGGTCGTATTATAAATCTGACAATTATATTACAGACTCGCAGTACTCCGGTTCTTTTTTTATTCACCCCTAACGTTTGACGATAGGAAGTGTCACGAACATTTGTAAGGAAACAGCGCGACGCGATGAAAGAAGTTGGCTTATTTTTTATTTACCGTCCCTCGGGGACGATTCTCTGATATTTATCGTGGACGTTTCCTTGCGACGTAGAAAAGTCACGATTAAAATTGTTCTTAGAAAAACCGGTACCGTGCATGTATCTACGTACGTGCATACACACATTCCCTCGCGGGATGCCAGATAAATGTTTTCGCGAACGTCACCACGGGAACACCGCGTTTTAAAATTTTTATTTCACTGCCCGGTGGGTAGATAATGATTGCGGCATCGAGAACGCGACGCTGTTATCGCGTGTCCTTATTATTAATAGCCTCATCGAAAATGTTTCGTATAATTAACACCGGTGATAATCATTCGTCCGTGTTGATTAAATGAAATTTTATTGCTCGCGAGAACGTGATCACGTTCTCGGCGTTTAAAGCCTATTTCGAGCGATTCGGCAGGGCTGTAAACCATCAGATAAAAGATCTTTACAAACCAGGGAAAGATTTATGAAGGAATCTTCAGAGAAATAATTGTGAACACCTCAACAGGAGGAATTCACTTCACCGGTTGATACAGGAGGGGGAAAGTAGATTGTATTAAATATTTAAAGGTGAAGGAATTAGTCTGTCAGAATTCACGCGAATAGCGCACGTCCATTTTTATCATAATTACTTCCCCTGAGGTCAATCCATCCGCAGGGGTTTATAAAATGTGACACGAAAGCGTGTCGCGCTGGCATAAACGATTAATTCTATTCCCGCGGGTGAAAAACTCGCGACTAGAGCTCCATTATTACCGCAAACTAAGTGTTTTCTGCGATAGAAAATCCCCGAGGAGGTATTTTTCACAGAACCCAGTGTGTTACAGAAATATTAATAATTCAATGGAAGCCATCGTCGACCGCGGCGTTCTTCAATTTTTAAATAGTTTTTTCTAGGTAACAATTTTCATTCTCCTCGAGATACGCCGTGGCGTCAAATCTGTTATCCTGATCTCCTTTTCACGTTCACCTATTTTAAATTCTGTCCCCTGTCTTCTCTTCGGTAAACGAACAATTAGCTGTCATTCGATATCGTCGAGCCAACGATTCGCCCGTTTTCCTCTCCATAGGAGCTCAATTAACATAAAAGGGAATTCGAAATTCTGTCAGATCTCGAGGTGTCAGGGAAATCTATTCAATGTACGCAAATTAGGGGCTAATGCGGCCTTGTTGTGCTAATGCCGGCTTCTTATTTCGGCCAGTTTCGTTTTGATAGAAAAATACCTGCCAGCGAACGTAACTCGAAGTTCGTGGAAAGCGGCAATGATTGAAAATCAATGCGCTGGTTTATTACAGGCACTTGGCTGCCTTCGGTAGATCATTTTCGCGGAATCTTTGTAATTGCCATGGAGTCTGTTCTCACGAAATTCGTCCTCTGACCATACTAGGATTTAAGTAACACGCTCGAACTTACTCGAGTACCATAACCGAGGTTTATGCGCCTTACACCTCGCCTTATTTGCGATTCCTCGCTGATTGCGGCAACGATCGGTTTTCTTTATTTTATTATTCCCCTGAAAAACGTTTCCGACACCGTTCCGTAGGTGAACATTTTAGATTCCTCGAAAGGTATTTTAAATTGCGATTTTCACTCGATCGAACTCTTTCAAAGACGGTCCCTCCTCGAAGACACAAAGAAGGGTGTCCACGCACAGGGTCCACTTTCGGGACTATTGAATAATAGATCCTCTCGTTTCGGGTCTCTCAAACGATTATAAATCGTCAGAAGCACAATGGTATCATCAGGGGATCGTTGACTTTTATTCCGTTAATTTATTCCGACGCGAGTGGGCCTGAGTGGCTGCTGTTTAAAAGTTCAGCCTCTGAATAGTCTCGTTTACGCTAAGTTATACACACACCCTTCATTATGTCCACTGAATCACCGTGTATTTTAAAAATTCTCCGCGTCGTGTCAAGTGTTTTAGAGATTTACTTTATTTTCTTCATAATTTTGAAATGTAGAATATTTCCAGGACAGAAGTAAACTTATTAAGCCGGTCATCACTGATTATAAAAACGCTATTTCTACGATGCGTTGGCATGATCCTTCGCTGTACACAAAAGTTTGTCATACGTGTATCTTTTTTTTATACGGTTCTTTGCCCCTCTATGAGGATTATGCACGTTCCTATGAAATCTGTATCGGGCAGGACGTTCGTGTTCATCACGATTTGTGCGAGGCTAACAGCACGCAATCGTTACGGCATATAGGAGTATCGCGAACCATAGATTCGCGTTTCCAGCTATCTTTTGATTTTTAATCAAACGCATCGTAACATCAAGTCGCGATGCCATTATTTACTCTGTACACTATTTTCGCGTGACGTCCACTGGCCAGATGCAAGCGAAAATCCATTATAGTTGGAAGAAATCAGAACAGGGAATTAAAAAATTTACAGAATTTTATTTACAAAAGTTCAGATTTACAAATATTCGCACACACAGATCATTCTATACATAGGCTCTCTACAAAAGACGACAGGTCGAACGTATCCGCGTTGCTCAATAGCTTCCTCGCGGATACTTGCTCGTTTAAAGTAGCTGCAGCTGTTTGCAATTTGCGTTTCCATTCAGGGCCGTCGATCTCGTCTATGGAGCATATCATCACTTCGTTCACTTCGTCCTGCACGGAATAGCTCGCCATCGATTTAAACACGCATTTAAGATCGCTCTTCGCTTTCTTCTTGATACTTCGATCACGACTGACCAAGTTCAAAATAAACAATCCACCGTCTGTTAAACATTCGGCGACTGATTTTATTACGGGCATCTCGAGAAACTGTTTCGGCGGGCAACTCATTCCGATAGTAGTATCCTTGCTATCTACGTCGAAGAGTACAGCCTTGTACTTTTTCCCGTTCCTCGTATTCTCTTTGATGAACTGTATGCCATCCGCGATCTCCACTTTCATTCTGTTGTCGAGGATCAGCCCGAAATAATCGGTAGCGACTTTCAACATCATCTCGTCGATCTCGACTGCGATAATCCTTAACTTTAAATAGAGAAAAAAAAACATTTTCAACGAGTTCGACGTAGTAACGAATTATACGCGTACCTTGGGAAAGCAGTGGTACAAGAATGTGCATAAACCGCCGCCGCCTAAGCCTACGATCATTATTTCATCGCTTTCTTTAGGATTTATCGCGCTATTAACGCCGATGCTCATGTACAAATGATGATCGCACGCTAAGAAACCGGGATCGATGATCTTTTTCATTTTACCGCGCCTAGATTTAGCTGCAAAGATGATCAGGAATCAAAATGAATAAAATACGATAGTGATAAAATGATGTACCTTGCTTGAGACGAGCTTCGCTTTGAATGACGTACGGATTATTCAGAAAGATCAATCTTCTGAATTCGCTACCATCTTTTTCAATCTCTTCCACGACAAAAGGACCGCTCAATTCACTTTTCCCTTCGTAACATTTCGTCCTAACTCCGACGTCCGTGCCCAACGAGAGAAATGGAATGTCGCATTTCCCAGATAAACCTTCGGGAGCTAGATTCAAGATACAATCCTCGAGCTCGCTTTTCACCGCGTCCCAGCTCTCGAATTTGTGATCTCTGCAGAGAGTGACGATAGCGAGTCTGTCCCGTTGAGCACTCTTCAACACCTGCTGTCTACCTTCCTTCGTACAGAACAGCCAATCCGTTTCTCTGATGAAACAATTGTTTTAATCACGTGAACACATCATTTATTGCGAAATATTTGTAGAATCTTACTTTCCTTGCGGTACTATGAAAGCTGCGTAGCTTTTCGTACCGCGTATCCTAGGCTGGTCCAAAACGTGAATCGTGTAACGCGGATGTTTATCGTCGGGGCGGTACAAGTCTAATGAAATTTCGCCTATGTCAGCGACGCTACGTTTCTGCAAGCTGTTGCAAATGAACGTGGACTGCTGTATCGACGACACGGCTGAGATCATCTCGTCCGCCGATGACATACGTTTTAGAGTACCGCCGACTAACGCTAACTCTAAGATCTATAATTATGTCCAGTCAGGAAGGGATTAAAACATTTTAACCCTTTATACTCGAGCGGCGCCGCTACGGCGCCCGGCACGAAAACTAATTGCAAACTGTAATATTTAACAGATTTTGTTGTATTCAATAAAAATGAAAAAATTGGTAAAATTTTATTATTTGTATACGTTCTTTTGGGTATAAAATGATTTGAAGTACCCCTAAAGTTCTTCTCTAATATAGTCGAAATCGTCTCGAGTTGCTGGGTCGCCTGAGCGCAAAAGGCGTCGAGTGCAAAGGGTTAATATCGCGAAGCGAACGTGTAACGTACAGTTTGCGGCAGGTTCGTGAATTTGGTTCCAATCACTGCGAAAACCGGTATCGAGCTTCCTTCTTCGAGTTTCGCTTTCTCTTCTGCCTCATGGCAACGTACTATACGAAACATAAATCCAGCATTTGGAAAATAGGATATAAGCTGTTTTAGGATATGCTCTTGTAGCAACGAGATACATATGTATCTGCCACCGTTACGTAAGACTCTTGTGATTTCCTAGAATATAAAAAGAAATTTTTAAATACGTGTTCTTCTTATTAGAAAATGTAATTAGAGGCCAGAGAAGTATTGTTCACTGTTGCTCGATACATTTATTGTACCTTAAAATATTTATTAATAGTAGATACTGTGTTTTCTTTGGCATCTGGCATAAGGGCGTCTAAAGTACCTTTGTCTAAAATAACATTGAACATATCATCGGGATATGTCATTTGGGTGGCATCCATCTGTTCGTAAACTAGCCCTGGCCTCACAGATCCATTAATATCGCACATCTGTTTGATAACAATATGCGATATATCGACGTTAATAATATTCCTGCAATAGTGAGAATCATTCTAATAGAATACACTCCATTTCTGAGTTAACATATAATGATTTCTCAAATATTATACCTGTAGCCAGCATCGTACAGACACATGCTGACTGTGGAATTGCCACAGCCAACTATTAAAATGTTATCCTTTATTTTTATGTACTTCGAGAGAATGCTGTATAATTCTGGATATTCTCCATACCTTAGAAAAGTAAAAACTGCATGTATTTATATGTACTTATAAATAACTTGTATGTATTGGTAAAACATACCATTCAAAATTCTTTTTACCACGTTTCTTAAAAAACGTATTCCAATATTCCACTTGACTGAATTCTTCATGGGTTTTTGGTAACAAATTCATCTTTCCTAATTTTCATATGAAGGTGGAAGTTGAACTTGTATGTGACGTTTAATTGTTGACTGTTATTGTAATTCAGCTGGTTCAGTAATTATTTTGTGAGTGTAAGAGCAGACAAGAAACGAGTGCAGTTCTGTACAGTTGAGGTTGATATAAGATTTGTGAAACTCCGACCACAGCGCCGTGCGTTGAGGAATAGTAAAACACAGGTTCCACTTGAGGAATTTACGTGCCAATGTTTGTGTGTAATTACCAGGCAGATAAAAGTAAAAATGGAATTTTGTAATAGCGAAAAAGTTGATATGCTTCTAGTTTATGGTGAGTGCCACAAAAATGCAGAAATAGCCAAAGTCATCTATGCCGAAAGGTATCCTGAACGAGATCAGCCATCTGAAGACATGTTTAAGAAAATGTGTAAATCGCTTCGACGAACCGGAAGTTTCAATGTTACTGAACTTAACGTAACGAAAACTGCTACTTCTGATGAAAATATTGAGGTCCTAACAGCGATAACAGGAGACCTCCATATTAATACACCACAGATTTCAGGAAGATCTGGAATTAGCGAACCAAGTGTACAAGTAAAAGTGCGATTTCCTCGTAGTGAAAAACGTTATGTCTATCACCTACCACTTTATCAGGAGCTCCATGAAAATGATTATGAAAACCGCTATCGGCTCTGCCAGTGGTTCCAGGATCAATTGTTCTTTGATGGTGTTTTTATAGAAAAAGTTTTGTTCACTGATGAAGTAACGTTTACTAATCGCAGACAAGTTAATTTCAAAAATATGCATTATTGTGCACCAGAAGAATACGACTGCGAATGGAGCGTTAATGTATGGTGTGGAGTACTGGGCAACCAATTGATAGGACCATATTTTAGTAATCATAGACTAATAGGACAAGCATATGCTGACTTTTTAAATGACACTTTACCATCTTTATTGGAAGATATACCTTTAAATATTCGTTTACAAATCTGGTATCAACATGATGATTATCCTGGATATTATAACGTACGTAGAATAAGCCAAGTACTGGATGAAACTTTTCCCAATCGATGGATTGGTCGTGGTGGACAATTTCTGTGGCCTGCACGCTCACCAGACCTTACTCCTGTATACTATTTTCTGTGGGACGCATTAAACGACGCAGTGTATCGTGAACCACCGACAACACGTGAGAATATGAAAAATCGTATTCGTGAAGCATGCACTACACTCAGTACGAAGCTCATCGATGGTACGAATATGATTTCGTTTGCAGTTTATTCATTAATTGATAGATTGGATCTCTGTATTCGTGCCCATGGAGGTCATTTTGAACCCATAGTGTAGAGTAGTGGATTACGAATATGTCCAACAGAGGGCGTGAATGAAGAAGAGTTTAATTCCATGTTGAAAAGTAGGAACGAGAAGGTGGTTTTATAAGCGTATATTGAAATAAAGTTATCGGTTCTATTAACTGATCGGATTCATTGTCCATTCACTACATTACACATAGATCTACATACCCTGTATCACGCCCTGTATGATCTATGATTGACGCATTCACTTTTAATCATTTTTAATATTGATCGTACTTCAGTTCATTAAAACGTTTGAGTGTCAGTGAATAATCATGAAGAAGACAGTTAGTAACAATTATATGCATAACTTCGAGTTACAATCACTTCATTATTGGTTCAAGAATTCTCCATCCCAGAATCCTTCAATTAAATATAAAGATTTATTTCAAGTTATGCAAGATGAAATAAAATCTGATATATCGAAGTAAGCTGTTATGATCCGAGTGCAATTTTAATATAACTCAACAATAAAATACATTATTTTTGCTATTTAGTTTCACCCACATGAGATCACGTCTTAATTTTAATAATAGAGCGATTTTAAAGAATGTTTTTGAACATTGGAAAATGTATGTTATACACAAGCTACATAGACGGAGGGTCACGTATAAAGCGAATTACTTTTATCAGATGAAATTGCAAAGAAAAGTTTTGAACGCATTGTCAAAAAATGTATTATTAAAATGGGAGCAAATTGTTTCGTCTATGGATAAGTGCAATGATATATCAGAGGCTTCTCCGGAATGCAAAATAGATCGGATACATTATTCTCAGTATTTATTACGAAAGTCTTTTAAATATTGGTGTAACTATATTGGAATAATGAATAAGAAGAAAGCATTGCTAGAGAAAGCTGTCCAGTTCCATAATTCATATTGTTTGAAGAAATGCATTATCAATTGGAAGATATTTCTTACGTTACAAAAAAAGAAAAGATATAGAATAGAACAGGTACTTGCGTAGTTATCGTTAAAAGTTCCTGTCGTCTAATTATTGAATAATTTAGGCACGTAAATGGTATGAGAAGAAGATATTAGAAAAATGTATAAGAGTTTGGATCAATGTTTCCGAACTTGAATCGCAGAGAAGTAAAATGGGGCGTGCTATTCAGCATTATGACGATAAGTTATTGATAAAATATTTCCGCGCTTGGCGGATGTATCATGAGTACAAAGTAAAGAAATTAAAAATAGAAGTTCGCGTGTTAGCGTACAGTAGGAGAAAATTGTTGAAGCGGTACTTCGAGTTATTCGTTGCGGTAGTAGTTTTCCCAGATTCACGCATACACATTTTATAATCGTGTTACTAAAAGTCTTCCCTTCTCTGACAGCGAGTACACGAACTCATTGCTGAAAATATTGCGAACGAAAATGCTGATACGTTTTACAATTCTAAACTTGTACAAAGAGCTTTCGATGTATGGCGAGAGTGGCACGATAGAAAATTGCTGAAGACAATGAGGATTCATAAAATTAGAGAATTGTTTGAGAATGGAATGAAACGTACCACGTTTATTAATTGGCGCGCGTACCTGATTCGTAAGAAATGTAAACGAAGAAGAATGTTCGCAGCGAATAACTTTTACGAGAAGAAATTATCAGTAAAGATTTTAAGGAGCTTCCGCCATTATGCTCTTTACAGAAGAGAGAAAAGAGCTAAGTTATCTCATGTTTACGATAGAAGCGAGGGCATCGTTCGACAGTTGCAGACTATTTTTATAGAAAAATGGAGAAGAGCGCTTTATAATTCCGTGCAAGAGAAACAGAAACTGGCTAGAGCGATTCAGTTGTGGGAATTGAATCTAACGCGGAAATATTTTAATAATTGGAGAGAATTTTCGTTACGGTATAAAGAGAAGATGCTTCGTAAAGGGAGTTTGAACGAGATAGCTGACCGTTTCCTACTGACAAGATTCGTTATGCATTGGCGTTACAAGTTACAAGGTGTCCTTGATATACGTAGAAAAGAAATTCTTGCCGTGTCCACGATGGAACATAGAATGATGAAGAAATGCTTCTCATCTTGGAAAGAGTACATAGCCCAGAAAGTGATACTGAACGAAGAAATAGATGCAGCGATGGAATTGCATAAAAAGTTTTTGTTACGCGAAGGACTTAAATCAGTTTTAAGAAACTCCCTTTGTAATATCGACTACCAACGCGACATGCAATTAGAGATCGCAGCGATGAGATCATTAGAGAATTTAGAAATTTTAAAGGATTACTTTGACAAATGGTATTTCTTGATTTATTTAAAACATAAGTCGGAACTTACCAGTGGCAATGACTTTGCGCGAACTCGAGATTCGTGTTACGATAAATTAGATAGTTTTGGAACTCATTTAGTCTTACCGGAGTACATGATGGACAAAGGGACGAAAGTCTGTGATTCGATCAGTAAATTACCGCAAGAGAATTGGTTATTCAATTTATTTCAACCGGTTTAAATATCCGTACAGTTCAGAGTATAAATGATAAGAGAAATATTTACAAATCGTTTATTATGTACAAATTATTATCTGAATTACATTTATTATTTTTATACAAAGATACTGTGTCCTATTTCTTCCGTTTCAATTTCTTTAATTCGCTTTGTTGGACAGCAGCGTCGCCGTAGATCTCTTTCACTTTACGTTTCCGTTCCTCGTCGCTCTTAATTTGCTGTTTTATCTGCAATTTCGCTAAGAACGCTCTGTCCCTTCGGATTTCTCGCACGGCTCCCTTCATTTCTTTCTTGTATTTATGCAACAGTTTCTCTCTTTCGGCCTTCTCTTTAGACGTAGTCCTGTGCTTCTTACCATCGTATCTGTAAACAAATTTGTATAAAATACGCGAAGTTCACTTACTAATAGAAGAGATTCTCGAAAATTATTACGTACACTGCTTCGATCCGCGGCTCGTATAACCTCAACGGTTTAGGCTTCTTCTTCTCAACCACGAGATATTCCAATTTCTTGTTCTTCAATACTTTCAATTCTCTCCTAAATTCTTTAATATGTTTCCTCACGTTCGATGGATATTTATCGAAAGAGTTCGCCTTGAACAATTTGAATATCGGTTCGAATATCGAATACGCAGCTTCCAATTCTTCCAGGTTGCTTTTAAATTCGCGAAGTAAATTTACGGCCGTCAACAGACTTCGCACTTTAAAATCATCCTTTATCGGCCCGTCCACTAAATCACTCGCTCTCATAGGCGCGCTATTTACATCGATTTCTAAATCGGATTGATCCTCGTCGAGTATCAGTAAATTGCTTGCCTCTCCGATCGTCTTGAACGGTGGTATAATTTTGACTCCTTGGATCAAGTGTTTAGACGTGGATACATAGATTACTCCGCGCAAGAAATTTATCACAGACGGTGCGAATCGTTTGCTGAGGGCAGTGTACTGTAAATAAAATATTATCTAATGCTGTACAGTGATTTAATATAATATAGGCAATCTTAATTACCTCTAAAATAAGAGTGCATATAAGAAGACCTTTCGAAAGGTCTAGTTTGTTTCGAACACGGCTCCTAAGTAAAATTTGAGACATGAATATCACACATGGAGTAGTGATAGGATGTCGGAAGTCAGACGTCGGAAATATTAAAGAAACCAGTTTGAAGAAGATCAGCTGAAACCGAAAATGCTTGTTAATCAGTACTTGCATTTGTTCAAGAACATTTTCTCAATACGATCAGATATTAAACGTACGGTGTCTAGGCTAGGATATCTTCTTTTATTCTTCTCAAATTCGTCGTGCTTTTCCTTGATTATCGCCTGCATGACGGTCCTAGCATTTTGTGCATTTAAATGAGCGAGGTCGTATAAAAATGGTGATAATCTGAAATCAGTGCATGTACGTAATTATTTAAGGAAGTTAAACCAAGTTGTATGATTCTATTAGCAAGTGTCGTAGTACCTATCAATGATTTGGAAACAATGGACTATGCTGTTGGTATCATCTTCTACCGCACAATCGTTCAAGTGTTGCAATAGAAATAGAAATAAATTTGTTAATTTCTCCTTGTTCGCATTGTTCAGTGTCCAGTGATTGCATTTGATTATGCGGTCCACGATAATTGACTGATAGTCAGCATTACGATCCTGTAGAAGCTCTTGCAATTCTTCGAAACTACTCGGTACTTCGTAAGTGTACGGTAGTTCCTTCCTCGCTTTCTCCATGATCTCTTTTCTTCTCATGAGATCGTTTCTAATTTCCTGCTGTCTGATTTTGTCGCCTAATTTAGGCACATCAGATTCTGGTTTTAAAGTTGATTTCTTTTTAGAGTCTACTTTGACTCTGTCTTTCTTTGATCTGCCTTCATCCTCGCTGGAGGCTTCCGAGTTTTTTAAATCCGATAAGCGGTCCTCCTCGGAACTGTCTTCGGAGTCTTCTTCAGCTTCAACTGCACTCTCAACGTTTCCCGTTTCTTTAATACCATTCACTTTGGTAATGTCCAATCGTTCGTCTACGGTTTCCTCTTCATCAGAGGCTTCAGTATGATTCTCACTGTCATCATTATCATCCTTCTCTTCCTCATCCGTATGTATATCGTTAATACCGTCCTCGTTACCTGAATCTCGTTCAGCATCTTTGACTGAGTTATCCCCATTATCTGGCTCATCGTCTTTTATCGTTTCTAATGTGAATCCATCATCGAGATCATCGGCCGACTTGTGTTTAATCCTGTTACTCGTATCATTTACAAATCCTTTCATTCTAGCCAGTCTGTCTTCCTCCAGAGCTTCCAGTTTCTCCTTCTCTTCCTTTATTAGTTCTTCTTCGGATTTCAGTTTATCCAGAGGCGTGCCTTTAGCTTCGAACTTTAATTCTCGCACAGCGATGTCATAATCATCTGCTTTAGCGCTTACTTTCGTTTCTTCCATAGCTTTGTTACTCGCCGAAATAATCGGGAGGAGATCTCTCCATTCCGAGTCGAGCTTCGCCGTCAGATCTATGGTCTCCTCCCGGATCTTCTGCTTTTCAGCTTTACGCTTCTTCGACTCGGCTATCAGTTCGTCTATAAGGTCCTTCCTGGACTTTTCTGATCTGGATAACATGCCACCGCCGAAGTGAGCGTCGCCGACGAATTTATCATCCAGCTTTCCAGTCTTGTTCTCGTCGTCGCTGTATTCGTCGTCGCTTATCGGGTCGTCGAACTTCTCAATCTCTTCTAAAGTCTGACCCTTGTGCGTCAAGACTTCGTCGTCGTTTAAACTGTAGATATTCTTTTTCTTGTGAGCCTTCATGCGTTCCGCGGTGAATCGAGCCAATGCTTTGTCTTCTTCATTCATACCCACGTTCTTTTCGCCTATACGTTTGTCAAGAAACAAGTTGTCTTTGTTTTTTAATTTATACTCATGGAGGAGCGTCCCCTTTCGTTTCCTAATCGCTTTCGAGCGCGATACTCCTGGAAGGCCTCTGTCCGCTTTGCTCTTCTTCCCCAAAACATTTTGCTTGTCCCTATTTATTTGTACCTCGAACGGATTCAAAGACTTCTTGTTCTGCCGATCACGTTTTCGTTGGGACACTTCGGACAATGACTGCTTCTTCAATTTAGCCATGTTACCTCGCAAGTTTCAAAACTGGTTCACAAATTTATTTATATCACAATTATTTTTTCTTAATCAGTATTGCAATGCATTATTTAGATTGCCTGTAGTTTATCCTGTTGATTAATCCAGAAACACGTTTTAATTTCTAACCCTTCACGCACACCACGTAATATTTTACGATTTTAAACAACATAATATTACTTAATTATTGTAATTATTTATGTACGTCTCTGGTAAAAACACATGGAGAAATAAAAATGATAAATCAGTGTTTAGAATATTTATATAATGTTTCTATTCTACCCACGTGTACGTGTTTACCTCGTAACGCTCGTAACGCTAACGACATTAACTATGGATTCGATGGATTCTGCTCTGGCTAACTTGGGCTAACTACACCTTCAATGAGGCTGAATAAGGCCAAGGGATCGGACCAATCCATGGACTATCGGCCGTCGAAATTGATTGGAGTCAAAGCTGCATGCTGGTTGTGAATTGGTTAACCGCCATTGCTGGGATGGAATACTTCCATTTTAAACTATACAGTTTGAGCAGATACATTTATACAGTAAATGAACCGATTTACTTGAATCATCCGAAATGTTATAAAAATCGTACATGTTACGAGATTATAATTTCAGATTTATTGTTCTCTCGACACAAACATTTTTTGTTTAACAAAATATGCAGTAATCGACGATGTAGAGGATAGTGGGATAATGGAATGGGTGGATTAAACATGTACGATGCACGAATAAGTTTGATGTATCTACTTCAGTTGACGGGATCTATGACAATTTATTTGCTCGTAAACGCGGTTACCACACATTAGAGGTGTTCGTAAAAAGTTGCGAAGCACAGCCGTTGAGATGAACGTATCGAATTACATTCGATTTTACTGTCGGAGAAATGCGAATAAAAAGAAATTGTTCATATCTCTTCAGTCGAATTTCATGTTGAAAAATTTCTTTGATGAAAGATGGGATACATTGTCGGTATATAGTCTATTGTCTACGTTTAAAGAACAGTTAATTAAATGCATAAGGACCTCCCACTCTTTTTAGAATGATTTCTCGCTTCAGCTTTAGTGCTTGTTAATCTGATGTATTTAAAAAAATTATTCTCATACTCCATCGAGGTGTACTATAACCATCTCCAGCGCAATTATAATCTACAAATAAATAAATTATGCGATACGCTCGTTCAAAACTTTTCCTCGCAGTTTTTATCCTTCCTTTCTTTGAATAGCTTGAACTTTTCGATCAGATCGTCGACGAGAACTTCTCCGTGCACGACGTTGTCCCTGGTACGCACGTTTACCGTGCCAGCGTTAACTTCTTTCTCTCCAACCACTGTAACATCAAAAATTGAATACTCAGATATTCCATTTAGCGACGCTCATAAATATTTCATTACCAAGAATAAAGTTGAACTGCGCGAGCTGTGCGTTTCGTATCTTCTTGTTCAGAGTGTCGCTGGCGTCCGTGTCGAGCTCCACCATGAATCCAGCATTCCATAGTTTATCTTTTACTTGAGTCGCGTAATTGTCGAACTGATAGCTCACCGGCATGACCACCGCTTGTCTCGGTGACAACCAGAACGGCCACTTCCCGGCATACGATTCTGTTAGAATCGCAATCATTCTTTCCACAGAGCCCAGAATAGCTCTGTGAATAATTACTGGCCTCTTCTTCTCCCCAGACTCGCTGAAAGTCGAAGTCAAAGTTAATTTCAAGTTGAAACCGTGAATCGATTAAGAATTATTCTGCTTACTTAACGTAAGTTAAATTGAATCTAATCGGTAACTGGAAATCCAGCTGAATGGTAGCGCATTGGTGATTCCGTTTGAGCGCGTCCATAATTGTTATATCGATCTTCGGACCGTAGAACGCGCCGTCCCCCGGATTCATCTGCCACGGTTCTCCGAACGCGTCCAAACTTTCTGCCAACGCTTTCTCGGCCTGATCCCACATCTGCAGATCGCCCAAATATTTCTCGGGTCTCGTGGACAGGCATAAATTAAACGTGTAACCAAATACGGAATATACGTGTCGCAGGAAGTCAAGGGCGCCGATCATTTCGTCCTTGATCTGATCGGTCGAACAGAATATGTGCGCGTCGTCCTGTTGGAATCGTCTGACTCTCGTCAAGCCGGTTAAGGCACCGGACAATTCGTTCCTGTGCAGTACTCCGAAGTCTGCCATTCTTAGAGGCAGCTCGCGCCACGATCTGTATCGAACGTCGAAGATCATGCAATGTCCCGGGCAGTTCATCGGCTTGAGCGCGAATGTTTCTTTCTCGACGTCGAAGGAGAACATGTTGTCCGCGTAGTGCATCCAGTGCCCAGACGTCTGCCATAATTTACTGTTGAAAATGTTAGGCGTGACTACTTCCTGGAAACCACGTTTCCTGTATTCGGAGCGAATAAATTCGACCAGCGTGTTGTAGATATGGGCTCCGCGCGGCTGGAAGAAACACGAGCCCGGAGAAAGTTCGTGGAAGAAGAACAACTCTTGCTCTCTTCCGATCTTCCGATGATCCCGTTTAGCAGCTTCCTCTTGGAACTTCTCCCACTCTTTTAACTGCTTGCTATCTGGGAAACTGATGCCGTAAAGTCTCTGCAACGCCTCTGCGTTAACGTTTCCTTCCCAATAAGTACACGCGTTTTTCCATATTTTAATAGCTTTAACTTTCCCAGTGTGTCTGATGTGCGGTCCCTTGCACAAATCGATCAGCGGGCCGCATCTGTAGACAGTCGTGGTGGGAGTGTTTATTTTTTCATTGATAATTCGCTTCTTAAATTCGTTGTATTGGAACATTTCCAGGAGATCCTCCTTGGTCATTTCCAGTCTTTCGAAAGGTTGTTTCTCTTTGACGATAGTTTTGTAAAGGCTCTCCAAGAACGGGAAGTCGAAACTCGAGATCCCTTTATCGCCCAGGTACATGTCGTAGTAGAATCCATTTTCTATCGGCGGACCGTAACACAAGCAACCTCCGTATACTCTTTCCATGGTTTCTCCCAGGACGTGAGCACTCGAATGCCAGAAGACTTGCTGGGCCTCTGGATGATCGAACTTGAGTAGCTCCAGTTTGCAATCAGATTCCAGAGGCCTGTCGAGGTCCCATAATACACCGTTCACTTTCGCAATCACGGTATTATCTGCCAGGCCTTGACTAATGTCCTTGGCGATTTCGTACGGACTCGTGCGCCAGGCTTGAGCCACGATCTCTTTTCCATCCGGAAGAGTCACCAATACGTCCTGCACTGGTTTAGAGGACAGCGACTCGTCGTACTCTGCCTTAAGTTTATCCCACAATGAAATACGGTCCTGAAAATATAATCATTTGGAGGAACAGTTTCGAGAACGGAATTGAACTAACTTACTTGAATATAACTCGGCCAGGGATTTAATTCGGAAACGGATCTCTCCTCGACGCCAGCGGCAGCGGCTGCCTTTCTCTTCTTCATCTTCGCCTATTGTTCAGAGAAACAAATGTTCATCGGATATTTTAAATTTCGAAAAAACGGAAGCTTGAAAGGGATTCACGGAAGTAACGCGATAACAATTAGCCGAATTACATCAGACTATCGATTTCAATAAAGTGGGTGGTTATTATCGTGATATAATACGACATCGTGGCACAAAACTTTGCAACAATAAGACAGGATCGAGCATTGTTAATATGATATGTAACAAATGACAATATGCTTTATAACCAACCCAAGAGGCATGTGTCCGCTTTGAAACATTGAACACGTTTCTATAACTGCAAACGCGCGACGTGGTCAACATATTTTTACATCTATTAAATAAAAACGAGAATATCTTTAGTAAATGTAAACCATATTCATGCCTTGTCTTCCTTAATATTCAGGTTTTGCACGATATTCACCACGTCGTCACACATGCTGTCGACCATATTGAAGCCACGCTCAATGACGAATGATGAATATAGGAATCCGTGATTACTACAGGTTGGAAATTAGGTGAAAATATTACAAAGGGATTAATGTTCTTTACTTTTATTAAAAAATAGTCATTTACAAAACGGCCTTAAAATGCTTTACAATAAGTGTCATTCATAGTTACATTACAATATTTGAGTAGTATAATAGACCAACGTATGATACTTAATCTTAATTCGATAAAGTAATTCAAACCTATTTCCATTCTGCTCTCTATATCACTAAACAAATCGGTAATTTCATATGACCTCCTAGAAATGTATACGCTCGTGACGGACTATGTGGCTGCGGTGATGGAACCTTTTCCCACAGGCACGGCAAACGTAGGGCCGTTCATCGGTATGAATTCTGTTGTGTATCTTCAAATCGTACTTCTTGAAAAACGATTTACCGCACTGAGAGCAGACGTGGTTCCGCTGCTTCAGATGATCGCGTTTCACGTGCTCCTGTAGCAAAACAGATTACTGTTACGCGGGTAAATATAATTCTAAAATTAAAAGATCATTGCACACACTCACATTCACTTGCGAAGAGGTGTTGTAAATCTTGTTACATATATCACACGCGAATTTCTGCGGCCCTTCAGGTCTGTGATTGTTGGCGATGTGTTTGTTCAACGTCGATTTCCAAGCGAAAGACATGTTGCAATCCTTGCAGTGAAACTTTTGTTGGTCCGCGAAATGAGTACCTATGTGCTGTTTATAATTGTAACTAGTTGAAAACGATTTTTCGCATACGGTGCATTGAAACTTGATTAAAAATGTTTTCAACTTTTTCAAGTCCTGTTCGTTCTTCGACTGTTCATTGTTATTAATACTGCCCTCGCTCGATTGCTCTTGCTTCTCATTCGTTTCAACGATTCCACCGTTACCGTTCTCGTTCTCGTTGTTAACAGTGTTGTAACTCTTCTCGCTTTCTGGTATCGCATCGATCGGGCCAAAATTTTGAAACTGTAAGAACTGTTCACTCTCTTCGTTGCAATCGGAAATTTTTGTACTCGAATTACCGAGTCCTGCGGTCTCTACGAATTCGAGAAACCTGTCGGGGCTATCGTCGTAATTCAGCCTTTCGAACACTTCGAAATTCGACTCGACGTACTTCTCGAAGTCGGTTTGCGTGTCCAATAGAATCTGATTCGCACTGAAACCCTTTTCCTCGCCTTGTAATTCGTATTGCGAATAATTCAATTCATTGTTCATATCGTCTCTCAGACTTTGCTCCTGATGATTCTCCTCGTTCAGATTTATATTCTCATTTTTGCTGTCCAGTATCTTAGGTAATTTTTCAACTAAATTGTTAATCAGAAATTCGTAAAATTGTTCCCCTGTTTCTGTTTGTACTAAACGCAGCATCGGTTCGTCTTGATTCACGATGTTATTGGCGTCGTTCAAGTCGCTGGAGAGTTTTTCGTTTTGCGCCAAATTGTTAGCTTCATCATTTTTATGCAAACTTGGATCACAATTAAGATTGATATCATCGGTATTAGGCTCTGAAAGATCTATCCTTTGGAACATATCGGTGACGTTCACAGAACTACTTATTAAAGTATCGTAATTCAGTATCGGCTCGGATTTATCTAAATTCGACTCGCACATATCTGGACATAATTTAGTTTTACGAACGTTCTCATCTTGACAAATGTACGATATGTTGTCCCTCTCTACGGACTCGTCGGATTTACATAAAAGAAACGGATTGTCATGAACAAGGGGACTCTGTTCATTGTCAAACGTGATCTTGTCTGAAACATTTAATTCTTCATCCGGCAAGAGTCTCTCTTCGCACAAATCTTTTCGGGAAACGCAATTCCCGCTGTCCTCGATATTTTCCAGATTGATTTTCTTCAACTTTTCCCATGCAAGAAGTTAAAGACGCGTAAAGATAACTTAAATATTGTACAGTTTTATAGTACGAGTTAGGTACCTGTTCCGAGGTGATATAAATGATCGTATCCAGTGGCGATACGTTTCTAACGTTTGTTTCACTTCCGAGGAAGCCAATATTATCAACGGGCTGTTGCTGTTCTTTAAATTCTACGGTTTCCTGAAAATTCTAAGCAAGAAAAGTATAATAGCGGAGAATAATCTGGTTTCCAAACGTTAATTCGAAAATTCTTACCGTCGCATCATTTTTGCATTCTGAACTTCGTGAATGAGACTTTTCGTGTTCCCTTAAGAGAAAGATAAAATTGAAACTCTCACCACAAATTTTGCAATAATGTTGTCGTTTAACAACTTTTTGCAGATTAGATGTACTACCTTCAACAAACTGTACATCGACAGTGAGACAGACCTGTCTGTTTTAAAAGATACGCAGTAAATAATACCAGAGTTAGTCGTCACCTTGTTCTTACTCGTCGCCGACTCCTTTTTCTCCGAACTTCCATTGTTAGAATTATTCTGGAACTTAGCATCATCCTTTGTTCTCTCGTGAATACGTTTGTGCCTCGCAAGAGAGCTTATCTGCGTGAAACGTTTACCACAGATGGAACACGGATACAGTTTCACCCCTAAAAATGTAATTCGACATTCAATTTCTCCTTAATCATTTACGTTCAATAGCATCGGAGATTTCATCGTACCGGAATGCATTCTGCAGTGTCTGATCAGATTGGATATGTGATTGAATTTTTTCCCGCAGACTTCGCAGATGCATATGTTTGTGCCCAGGTGGATGTTCAGATGAGTTCTTAAGTCTGTCTTGCGAAAGAAACTTTTACCACATATTTCGCAGAGCTGCGACTTCTCGCCCAAGTGTATACTCCTGTGGTGATAGTCATATTGAGAAGCTCTGTCGAAAGTCAGCTCGCATTGCTGGCATTTGAAAGGTCTCAGGATATTTTCGTAGAAGTTATCGACGATTTTCTTTTGACTAGAATACTCCGGCTCCGTCTCCGATTCATCGTTCTCGTCTTTCCTTGAACACTGCACTTGCTTTAATAACACGTCTCCTGCGTGGATGCGCAAATGACTGTAAAACTCTTTCTTATTTATGTATCCAGCGTCGCAGACTGGACAAACGAGGTTGATGGACTGCATTTGAACCTTATCATTCTTACAATTCCCTTCTGGGCTTAAACTAAATGACATGCTATCATACTCAGACATAAGGCTTCTTTTAAGTCAAAGTGTTTATTTACTGAGAATACAACAATCGAGACGCCGTTAACAATTACTCCTTATACTCGGATCGTACTCGTTAGCACCTCTCGTACGGATCGTACGGATGATAGCATATGACATCAAGAAACTCGACCCACTACGCGAAAAAGTATTGTCAATGGTACAGAGAACATCTTTGATTCTGACACCGCTGCCATTTCTTTTCTCATCGCACGGGAGCACACGGAAGGAACGGCGAATGACGATAGCGAACCAAAAGAAAGTTTCAGTTGGCATGCCTGACCGAGTCCTATCACAGAACAATTTATTTAATCAATAAATTGTTCAAAATGATTGTTTTACTGCCTTTAATTCTATCAATTCTTTCATTTATATCCCACGTTTACATATTTACATCGTGTTTTGAACTGCGTGAAGGCGTGTACGTATGTACAATCGATTTCTAAGATGTCGTCTAAGTGTTATGTATAGTATGCGTATATGCAAATTAGGGATGTGAACTTAGCCTGTCGTAAGTGAATCTTATACGGAAGGATATGTGAAACAGCGGTGTTGAGTACTTACAATTCGAAGATTTCATTGACTGCTAAACGCCCCTACCCGTAAATAGAAATGACACTCTTTTTCTTACGTTACCGTAAAAAATAATAACATTCAGATGCGTGTATTTACTTATTTCGCGGATACACACTGCTGTAAAGGTAACCAAGCCGAATTACATTTATTATTTTATCTATAGATTACAGACCAGTTTAACACAACATATGTATTTCGACATTTCAATTTTAAAGGATTTGGAAGTCAGAAATAATCGCTGAAAATTAGATATAGAAATTGAAACAGTAAAAATGTCATCTAAAGAGTCGTTGCAATATACCAGTGTGGAGGACCTACTGCAGAAAGCCAAGATCAATTACAAAGAAAAGAAACCAGTTGAAGTTTACAAGAGGCTGTCTGCTATGTACAAACTGGCAGAGACCGCAAAGATAAAGAGAGACGAGGAGCAACAATACATCATGCTGAAGAGGTGGTTGAATTCCATGGAGTGGTTGAAAACCACACGGGAATATAAAGATGATAAAAAGTTCAGTGTGAACGTTGATCAGGTGGGACATGGCTTTATTGAACTAATCGTTTAGATATTCGAAACGTAATGTTCAGAGGAGTTTTCTTCATCCCATAATAACATTCCTAAATACCTCTTCTAGATGAATGAAGCGAAGAAGACACTTGTAGATTTGAGCAGGAAGTTGGATGTAAGGTACGAATCACGAATGAAGGAAAAGATGTTGAAGAGAAGTAATAGCACGGAGAAAATGGATATTGATATCGACATAGGAACAGATTCTCATATGACCCCCATTGACGGACCTATTAAATTACCGGAGACACCGACCAGAGATCCACTGGTCAGCGATAACGAGGATGTAATAAGTTGCGATCATTTGTATTGCTTGTTGCACTCGGAAAACGACAGATATTTGATCATCGATATCAGGCCCAAACTAGAATTCGAGGTCTCGAGAATATTATGTACTAGAGTAATTAACATTCCGAATAACAAAATAAAATGTGGGTAGGTAAACGCTTGTTGTACAAGTAGAGGAATAACATCGGTTTATAAAATTCATTTATATCGTTCTCTCTAGTGTGCTGGCATCTTCTTTAGAGAAGGTCTTTAGCAAAAAGAAAGATTGGCTTGATTTATATAAACACAGGGGCGCGCAATACGTAGACATCATAGTTCTAATTGATCGGGACACGTCGAGTAAGACGTTGATGCCCGATAATCCTATGAACACATTAAGAAAAGTTTTCTTAGAATGGGATCTCGGTACAAAGTACAAAAGGATCGCGATTCTGGATGGTGGCTATACTGAATGGATAGCTCGGTACCCTACGTTGACGACGAACCCGAAAATCGAAGAGCCTACTGTGAATAATGTGCAAGATGAATTATTAGATATCATAGATTATCCTGATTTCTCGGACGACGAGGAGAACATCGTTAAATCGAACGAAAATGTACCGCACAACTCGAAGACCGCGAATAAAAATGAAACAACGTCGAGAGGCAGCCTGACGAACGCGAAAACTTGGTTGAACACTAGAAGGAGTAACTACAATCATTCCGCGGAATCTAACTCTATACATAATCCCGACGAAGGAGAAAATGTTTCTAAGAACAATACGATTTTACGCGAGTACAACGACAACTCGTCGAGACTGCAACAGAAAAGAACGTCAAGCGTGATGAAGAACGAAACGCCGACGAAGCCGACCGTGGACAGAAGCAGTAAACCGGTTACTTTACAACCGTCCAACTCCGAATCGAAAATCGTTCTGAAGTTGTTAAAGGACTTGCACGAATTCGGAAAAGGGAAACAGAAACTGGACGAGGAAATGTTAGAACGGGAACGGACATTGTTCGTGCAACGCAGCGGCAAGTACAAGAATCCGATTGAGAAGGAGAACGTCCAAGAAGACGTAGAAGCATTGTTACGATTGAAAGAGATGGTAATGGATATCGTCAAATTAATATCGCGCCGAGGAACTAAGATAGCTCTGTTATAGGATCAAAAGTATAAGAACATTGAAAACGAGCTGGGGAAATATTACGCGAACGGTCGTATAGGGTCGATTAAATTCAGTCCCGCGGAAGAGACTGAAAAAGGTAATCTCGAATGGAATATCTGCAAGTTGAAACGACGAATGAAAGATACGACTGCGGATCGACAAAAATTGCAACAGTAAGCGTAAAAATCTACGATAGAGTCGCATTTGACAGTTTAATGATATGCTTTGTTCTAACAGAGAAGTTGTCGAAAATGATGACGACGACGACGAAGAAGATTCGACGAAAGAAAATGAACTGAATGTTTACAAGGAGCCTTTGAAAATGGAAAATAATAGTTCACCGATGGGTGGTGGCCTGGAGCGTTCGTACTCCAGTCCAAATTTGTCCCAGGTAAGGTTCCGTACGTTTCTTTAATTCTGATAAAATAGTTGAATCAATTTTATGAATCGCTCAGTTGAACGATCACAAAGCACCGCAAGTGGACAGGAGCTCGAAACCGCAAGTCTCGCCGATCAATCAGAACGGGTCTTACACCGAAAACAAAGTTTCCCATCACACTTGGGCAAATCGCGAGGAAAGAATGACGCCTGTTCACGGGAGCGTTGTAAGCACTTTTACTGTTAAAAAATATAAACCGTTAACGTAATCAAAACGAGAGATTATCGAGAATTTCGTATAAGGTCGGGTGATTTCCCGGTACCTCGTGGTCCGAACGAACACGTGCGAGCGAAAACATTTTCTATGGCTTCCAAATCCAATTTACTGTGAACCGTTTTTCGGGACAGCGTCTCCGATACGCATTAGTTTCATTATCATCATCAAATATTAACCGTCAGTGTCGTACGTTCGCGTAACGTACGTTTGGCAACGAACAGAACCGCGCGGACAGCCTTCGAAGTCGCTGTTACGTTTGTCAAAAATCAAGCGAAATGTAGTGTTCGTGATTCTCGAAATCCGAGAGAAAAGAATTCGATTAAATAAAGCGTCGAACGAAAGATGGTAAATTTGTCTAGAAAGTTTGTGCCGAATCTCAATGTATATTACTTCAAAAAGGTAAGGCGTTGGAAATTCGATGAAGTGTTCGCCAGTGAAAAAACATTCGTATCAATGTGTTACAGCATCCAGGCATCACGGGGTTAAAGAACTTGGGTAACTCGTGTTACATGAACAGTATTATACAATGCTTGAGCAATACCACGCATTTAGCTAAGTATTTTATGGACAATTTGTACGCGGACGACCTGAACACAAACAACGATAATAATACGCAAGGTCAGGTCGTGGAAGAAGTGGCTCAAGTGATTAAAGCGCTTTGGAGAGGCCAATATAAAAGTATATCTCCTCACGACCTCAAAGTACGATAATTAGTACGAAACTAAATCGTCCAATGATGCGATTTCTTAACGCTGAAATACGTGTTCTAATTATTAGATCGCCGTGGGGCAGTACAAGTTGCAATTCGAAAGTTACGAGCAACAGGACTCCCACGAGTTTCTCACTTTCCTCTTGGATTGGATGCATAACGATCTGAAAAAGGTAACACCGTATCGTATGAAACGGAGTCAAATCGAATGTCTCGCGGTGGACGAAGCCTAACACCATCGTGCTTACAGAATTGCAAAGTGCCTCCGGAAATGACGGCTGCGGAAAAGGCTTGGAACAAGGCGATGGGAGGTCAGAGGTCCATAATATCGGATCTATTTTTCGGGCAATTGAGGTCCACGATCATGTGCAGCTTCTGCAAGCAGAGCAGCACCACGTACGAGACCTTCAACAGCTTGACAACCTCTCTACCCGACTCGAATCGGTGCACGTTGAACGTAAGCCTTCCGAATATTACATGTATTGACGCGAGAATCGTACGACATGATGACGGTCTGTTTCGCAGGATTGCATTCAGAAATTCGTGAGCGGGCAGAAGGTGTTGGGCTGGAAATGTCCAAAGTGTCAAATGGCTCGCGAGGCCATGAAGAAGTTCGATTTCGTCAAACTACCGCCTATCATCGTGATACACTTGAACCGTTTCGCTGAAAGCGGCGGATGGCTCGAGAAAAGGAACACCGCCGTCGACTTTCCCTTGACGGACTTCAATTTGAAACAATATTTGGTGACGGACGGGAATAGCATTACGATCACCAACATACGAAATTACTCTTATAGTTTATACGCTATGTCCAATCATTACGGAACGATGGAAGGCGGTCATTACACTGCTTTTTGCAAAAACGCTGCTCAAAATAAGTAAGTGCAAATTGTTTGGGTTGATTTTTTAGGCGTTGCCGAAACGACAGTAGGGAATAGCGAGTATACGTTATTTTTCAGGTGGTACAAATACGATGACCAAACGGTGACGGAAGTTACGGCGAGCCAAGTAAAATCACAGAACACCAACGCGTATCTACTATTTTACACCTCGTTCTCGACCAGCATCATTTAGTATTAACACAAACGGCCAGCTGGCTCTGACTCATTACTTAAAAACAGTCACGGACGTTCCTGACGATGTAGATATTTGAACATTTTTTGTATGTATTATATATGTATTAATTATAGAACACGTAAACGTAAGACCATGAAAGCGATAAGGGCTTCATTGGTGCTGGGACGTATGTAAATATAATGTTAAGTTATAACGATATTATATATCGAGCGGTAGAATCAGAAGAGAAAAAATATTTAGCACTCGTTGCATTGTTTATGTTAAATCAGGTTCACGATTTTTCCACACTGTAGCTCTGTATATTGTGATATAAATAATTTACGTTTCTTTCTGCATTTTTGACTGCGAATGCAACACGCTCTACGTTTGATAGGATAATTCTATTATCGGCAATTTATTTCTTTGTTAACGTCATACGAGGGTACACTTGTAACAATTAAAAAATGTTGAACAAATGAAGGCAAACTTGGTTGCAAACATACAACGATGCACTATTATGCATACACCGAAAGAAATTAAATGAGATGCGAATACTTTCGGAGCACGCGTTAGCTGTGAAATGTTTTTATATACGATAATGCATGTATGTACGTCAATATGCATTGTGTTCAGATTTACGGACGTCTGTAAACTCTTTTCGTTAAAATTTGTGTAATAGCTGTCGAACGCGAATGTCTGCAAAAGAGTGCCATCACCAGTTCGCTTATTTTATATATTTAATAAAAACTTTCACACTCAAAAGTTACCGAGGATTCGTCTTTATTTGCAACACAGGTTAACAAATCTTTATTTTATACTTGATATAAACTTAACAATTAGAAGTGAATAGTTTTTTTTTCCTGATAGAAAAGAATCTTTTGATATACGGAATGTGATGAAACTGAACTCTTCCGTAGAAGCAACTTAAACAACTTGTGTAAACTGGGTAGAAAATTACCGATTCTCCAGTCGAATGTCGACCGACAGAGAACAATCGTTCCCGGCGGCCAGGCTTTGCCGAAAGAGCTGTGCGTGCTGCCAAGCGCAATCGCCCGTGCCACCGGAAAGGGTGGCTGTGAGAATTAATTTCACCGATCCCTTCAATTGGTCCGTGTGATAATACGCGTCAATAGGCAGAACGATCGACTGATCTCGCTTCTCGTTATCAAAAATCGCCTCTAACTCCCACGACACGTCGGCTTCGAAGAATACTTGAACGCTGGCCTTTAGGTCGAACGTCCTCACGCAAAGATTCGGATCCTTAACGAGGAAACACCATTTTACCTTACCGAGAGCGGAGCCTGGGGAACGAGACAGATAAACCATCTTCCAATCGTGCTCTTCTTTACGACGCATTCCACCTTCGACCTCGTACACTCCGTTTTGCCAACCGGACATGTCCATCAGAACTTCGCTGTCGATGTTAGTCACCTTGTACGCGTCTTTAACGATCGAGTAGCGAAGCCGGAACGCGTCTCCGTATTTCGAAATGTCCCAGACGTGTTTCGCTGCCGTCTGAAAGGTTCAACCGAGGATATTTTATCGCGGCAACGAATGAATCTCGATTCTTTGATTCCGATTTTCGATACCTCGGAAATCTCTCCTCGCGTCTGTCTCCAGTGATAGGATCCAGTGGTCCGTCCGTGATAACTCTCGTCGTCCTTGGGATTCTGTTTGCTACTCGGCACATGTATCAGTTCGGCGAGTTCTAATAGTCTCCGTTTGATCACGTACTGCCTCCGCGCAGCGCTGTAATTCGGGGAACACTGACGATGTCTGTTCAGCGACTCGATGAATTGCAGCAGCTTAGCCTCGGAGCAGATGTTCCTCCGTTTCATCACTGCTTTCTGGTCGCGCGTGTACCTCCACGTAACGTCCTGCACCTCGTCTTTCGAGAACGCCATTATGTAAGACAATTTCTTTTTCCAGCCCTTCTCGTACATCAACGGCCTGTCCATCACGTCTTCGCAGGGGTCTAGGTGTATCCATCTTTTCTCGCGGATGGACCATACCTGACCAATTCAATTAGGACTCGGTCATTCGATCTCTCAACAAGAGGTGCCGCGTGAACGATTTTCCGGATACTTATGTGAGGCCACTACACACCTCTGTCCACACGTGATCGGTCTCGTCGTGCACGAATCTCGCGTCGTACCCAAGCGCTCGACACAGAAGCGTGAACGTGTTCGCCCATTCCCCGCACCGTCCCCGACGCAGAATTAACAATGGTTCCGGATCGGTATACCTAGGGAACTTGACTCTCGTTCCACATTTCGTACATCTAAAACCAATGATTAATTACCCCTCTCCTTCGGAAACGAACGAGCAACGATATCGACATTACTTGTGTATCTCTGTTCGCGAACACCTAAGATCGTCGGTGCGGACCACTTCCTGGAGGTTGCATTCCGAAAAGCACGCCGTGCATTTCGGACTGTCGACCCACGTGAAGAACTTGTATTTGAACCAATGCAACAACTCCATGAGGAACAGGTCTTTCACATCGTCGATCTCTTTCTCCGCATCGATCTGATTGAACTTGGCGTGCCTGGGAGAACCAAGTCGCGATCAGCAACAGAACCAGATAAATGTACTTCGATAATAATTACTTCTGCAGCTGCCTGATCCTCGTCATAGTAACGATTTCGAGGTCTACGATCGGTATTAATTTCTTAGCTTTCTCCTGTAGCTCCGCATCCTCGTATCTCAGTACGCTTTCAAACTGACCTATAATGCTTTTGAAGAATTTACTCTCTTTCGCTGTGCACGCTGCAGGCAGTAAATCATACAACTTGTTCCTCGCTACAACAGGTGTTCTTGGGACTGTACTTTTGTTGAGCAATTTTTGCAGGGTTTGCAACTTGGTCAGCGGTGTTTCTTGAGGTAGGGAAAGGCAGTCGGTGGCCTGTCGATAGAAACCCGTGCTTTTATATTTCACATTCGTTTCTCGCTGCTAGTTCAGCTTAATTACCTCAATGAAGCCGACGTCGAATAGACACTCGATGGCTCCGAGAGCCGGGAGTAGTTTAGCGATGACCAGAGGGTCGTCGAGCCTTACTTCTCGATGCTGTTTGTCATCCGGATAGGACAGAATGTTCTGACAAATACTCGACAACACCGCTTCGGCATCGTTTCGCACTTCTTCCACGTTCTCCCTCAACAACTCCAAGGATCGTTGCAAGTCCTTTTCCATGATCAAAACGCGGGCATATGTGCACGGAGAAAAAATGTGGACAGAGTGCAAGTCACCCGAGGTACGACGATATCAACCGTCAACCGTCGATCTTTCGCGCGAGTGACGTGGGAGATTAAACGGCATGAGAAGTCGAATTTTACCTTCGAAATCAACTACGCATCTTGCTACTTATCCGAAATTTATCTGGTTTCTCTCGTGAACGAGCATGCTAACAATTTCTGAATCGATCACACGGCGGCATCTCTTTGATGAACGCCTAAACCGATTCCATATCGCTACCGACGGTGAATTCAATTGGGACTTCGCACGTAGCGTCGCTCAATAACGGAGATCTCTATATAATTTGAAACATGGAAAATGACAATCATTGACAATGATTCCGACGTTCGATCTCTGAATTTGTACAATTTTTTAATCAGATTCTAATCTTCATTCGATCCCGAATTGCTTGAAATAATTAATTCAAACGCACGGATCTCGATTCGATTCTGACGTGTACGCTTCTCAAAGGGTCCGACGATATTTGCAATTTAGCGATTCGTCGGATAGTAATTCACGGCTGAGAGCAAAGTCGGAAATTGGAAGAACAGTTTTTGAATAGAACAGTCCGCGTTTCAGTTCAGCAAGCGGTATTACGGCCTGATTTTCTACAACATTACTTTCTTTCAAACTCCGGACAATCGGTCGAAAGTGGAGCATTCTTTTGTTCCATTTTTGATTATGTACAGCTGCCAGCATCGCGATCTTAAGGTGGCCAACTTTTCAAACCAGTACCACATATCCCCCTCTCGTACGATACTATGATCCCAATGAGACATAGGCCGGTATTCAGAGTCGTTACTTGTATTTAAGATCGCCTTAAGCATTTGCTTAAGTCCCTGCTTCCTGTACAAGACAGGAACAAGGAACATGGATAACAAATGCTTGAGATGATCTTAAAAATAAGTAACGACTATGAATACCGGCTAATCTCTACTTATGATATGACATTGATATATAAGTTCTTCTCCGCGACGACAAGATCTGTAGTATTTATATTAGAAGCCATTTACGATCGTGGGACGAAATAATGTTTAAGAGTTGTCGTCGGAGTTCAGCGCCGGGAGCAGAAATTATGAAATTGAATGTGCACGGGAATAAATTACCGCGGAAATAAACTTGATGGACAAATACGATGTCCGAGCGCGGATGTTTGTGCAGGCCCCGCTACAATTTTGCTGATTCCGCGGAACTTCCCGCGAGATATTTACTTTTCGAAGCGTCGCGCCGCGACTCGCCCGTAATCGAATAGAACGCCGAGTCTATTTAGCACCAGCTGAAAGCGTTTTCATAGAAAACGCCGTGGAAAAAGTTTGCCACGCCGCGCCGTCGTAAACTGTTACGAACCGTTGGAAGCAGGGGTAGGTACGTCGTTCGCGAAACAAAATTAATATTTTCCTTACGAGGACGATCGATATCGCTGACGATCGGTCGGAGCAGCGAAACGGATTTTGTTAAATACGGCAAATGAAATAATGGATAAAGTTCTGTGCCACGCGGCTATACAGGAACAATATTGCTTTTAGAAGGCAATATTTCCCGTAAAGTTTCGCACCGACGTACCGTTAATCGGTTTCAGATTTTATTGGAAAACTAAAGGCTCTAAATAACAGTTATAAACGGGTCTGATTAAAAACCATGCTGTACCGTCGTAGACACGTTCAGCCTGTCCGCGAGTACTGGCTGACCATGCACGTACTCGGACCACTGCCGCGGCAGCCCGAGTGCCGAGCCCGTTGACTCGTACCACTGAGCGGCGAACTGGCCGTGTATTTTAATCAGACGCCGTTCGGTGATCGATACGAAATCCTGAATAGAGTTCGTGCGGCCTTGGTGCGCGAAAGGATCGGTAAAAAGAAACAGGGAACGAGGCTTCTTTCTGGGCGCATAATAATCTGGTCGCATCCGCGGCGGGCAACAATGAAGATCGATAATTCGAGAGGGTCGAGTAGCCATGCCGTTGAAAAAGATTCAGCGGAGCTAACGGAAATCTCGCAGCCAACCGGCGAAGAAACACATCGGAGACGGTGCACGCTCGTATTTCAAAGGATTCCACGACAATTCAGCCTCCCCCGCGAGAGCTTTGTTATCGCCCTCTCGCCCTCCTTTCCTCGCGGGTACCTGTTCGCTTTCCACCGACCCATTCTAGGTCACCGTTGGTCAAACCATACTCGCTGCGCCTTCTATCAACCCGACTGAAATAAAGTCGCCTTCCGCGATGGTCGCGCGTTATTAGTATCATTCGACGACACTCGCCGAATCGTAATTTCATTTTTTTAGTACGCGACCTGGTAATGGCCCAATAAAAATGTCGGTGAGAAAGAGCAAAGGATTATGCGGGGCATCGTCCTTCATAAAATTACGTCTTCCGGCTATATGTATAAAAAAAAAAGAAGAAACGGTAGCCGCGTTACAAAAAGGTGAATCGAATTAAAATGAGAGCTCTTTCTTTTGTCGAGAATTTCCCGGGCGAACGCGAATCGATACTCGGCACTCGACGCTCGGTGGAAATCGGGTAAGTCGCGGGAAAAGTCTCTCGATGTTTCACATGTCATTGAGCGTTAAAGTAACGCGTCCCGCTGTGAAAATTCAAGAGAGGGAGGAGGAGAGACGTGGACGCGTTTCAGGAAAATTCGATAAATTTCAATTTCCGACAAATAGTCTCGGGGCTGGTTCATCCACTTATTCCGGCAGCCGATAAATTTTCAATATCCACGCCTCCATTGTAGGGGTTTCGGTACCGCGCGAACGGGACAGGCCTCGTTTCGTTTCGTGTCCCCGGTTACACGTGTACACGCGCGCTCGTTAATCCCGAAAAGGTTGTTTTGCATCTCAAACGTTGCTTACATTGCGTTCCGGGGCGTCGATCGACAAGACGCCTGATTTGCCTCGAAAAAGCGGGCCGGACCGACCGGGTAAACAGGCTCAATTTGGAGCGTCGCGTTCCAGATCCAATCATCGTTACCGTTCTCGACCGGGCGTCCCTCGCCGCTCCTTTCGAGTTTTATCGTCGTTGCAATACCATAAAAATGCGAGCGCGCGTTCGCAGTCGTTTCACGATGAACTTTGAAAATTGAAGTATTTAGCGTCGGGTCAAATCAGGTTTAACGAGACTCTGTTTCCGTGGGAGTTGCCGTTTTGGACAGCCTTAAGGAGACCGTCGTTGCCCGGAAATCGCGTTCGCCCTGGCAAATATCGTTACCGTTTGATGCATAATCTGGCGTGCACGGGACCGTTGGAAGCATCAAAGGTGACGCCGCATCCTTTGGACAGGCACAGAGACAGTGTAGACGCGACAGAGGCCGACGCGCAAATAAAACAGGCTCGGAAATCGTTAACGAGTATTCGGCGAGCGTCGAGAGGCACGGGAACGCGTTATTAGTGTACGTTAATTCGCGTATAATAAGCTCATTAAATCTTCTTATTCCGAGCAAGAGTTGAAGAGTCGCTCTGCTTTTTCGTCCGTGCTCCCTTCCTCTCTCTCTCTCTCTCTCTCTCTCTCTCTCTTCTTTTTTTTTCATTTTTTTTCTGCTCTTCTTCCTCCCCTTCCGTCGCACACCTTTTTTCAACGAGAGTTTTGAATGGCGTTTATTAGGGCCACGAGTCCCCGCATCGAGAACTACTTCGAGGCTTCGTAGTAACGTCGCGGAAGGATCATTAAACGAGAGAAAAAAATTGACTTCCACCGCGACGAGAACTTTCGAAACTCCGCGAAATTTATTCTCGATTTTTTCTTCCTATCTCTCTCTCTCTCTCTTTTATTTTTTTTTAATTCACCTTTTCGTGATTTCTCGACGAGACGCGATCTCGTTCCGCAGTTCGATTCTCGAACTCGAGACACTCGAGGGCTCGTCGTAATAATTGTTATTGAGGATCATCGCACCGTGAATTTCGTTTGTCATTACGTACAGGACTTTCCACCGACGATGGCCCTTCTCCCATAAATTTCTTCTTTCGTTGGACGGTTGCATCAATTGAGATGGTCATTAGCGACTGGGAACAGTAAGGTTCGGCCTGTGAGAACCACTTGAAAATTTATTCTCAGAGGTGGTTTTATGAAAAACGATGTAGTTCCCTGGTGACGACGTTGAGAAAATTTTAAGTCACTTTCGATTAGTGTGATATTATTAAAATGAGACGCGACGGAGGAAGAATACTGCTATTCCTTTTGCATACGTAGGTCGCGGCTATAAAGGCGAAAAGGTTTTAGAGGAACGGGAGATGGAACAGAATCCGTATCCGTATCAAGCATCGAATTTATCGAGAGAAACTCGGTAAGAGGGTGGCGAGGGGAAATTCCTCGGGTAGGGTTAAATCGGATATCACTTGAACGTATCTTTTGTCGAACGGGTCGGCATTCGCAATCAAGTTATTTACAGTTCGTGGAGCAGAGATCCATAGTCACGGGCAACCTCTTTTCCCGGTCTCCTTATAGTAATAGGGTTTACGTAATCTCTTGGTAATAAACGAATCCATTTCCTCGTAAATAGATTTCCCTTAACCTCTGCTTTTTATCCTACTTACGATTAATGCCCCATCAAACCGGATGGAAACTTCGCCGAGAGAGCCACCAATGCTGCTTTTTAATCCCTTAATTGTCTAATAAAACCATGAGTAGTGGTAATAACTATTGTGTACTCTTGTACCACCGCGAGAAACGCCATAAGAAACGTAAAGGGCATGTTGTATATGACGTGATGGTTCGACACACGAATGAAACCACGCGCTCTTAAGGATGTATTGGCTATACAGTAAATCCCAAAAGTTTATATACCTTAGAAAAACGCATTTCCTATAATTAAAAAGAAATCAGACGTCGGAAGAACAATACAAAAAGTTGTTTGTCTTCTAATTTCGATATTTAACGAGTTAAGTATGACTAATCGGCATTTTATTGGCACTGACAAAATCCGACCGTCCCACCGTCGAGATAGCCAACTTTTGGCAAAAAATTTTGTTTTTCCTCAATAACTCCTAAACCGTTGGATTTACGAGAAAATTGCATAGGACCTTTCTTGTAGAGGACGACGAGATCTATAATTTCTGTATAAAAGTTTGTCGCTAGTGTTAATAGTTTATGAGTTATTG